AAATTCAAATTTAACTGAGCACCCTGTAATTTATCTGCTAAACCTTGCTTTAATTAAAATTGTTTATCATTGTTTAACCCAGGTTTTTCAACACTAGTTTGAGCAAGGAAATTGTTGGCATACCTAATATCTTGGGGAAGTCCATGGGACTGTATTTTGATTACAGTGGGAACACTTTTCAGATAGAGAATGAATGGATTATTTTAAGTGCTTAATCCACCCTACAGTAATCTCTCCCATGAGAGGCCCTTAACAACCTATGTCACACGATTTTACACTTAATTAACTACTTCTATAACTTGTTGACATTTATTTAAAATGTATCAGCTCCTAAATTACAGGGACTGGGTATCATACTTGTCCCAACCCCTCACTGTGTACAATATTTATTATTAGCATGACATTTTATCTGAAAAATGATTTATTTCTAATTCATAATGTATATAGGAATCTGTTATGCCAAATTGTTAATCCAAAGATCCAGAGCAAACTAGGGCCATACTAATTTTAGAAGTATTGTATCTCACTTTTTCAGCCTGGTAACCTTTCATTTTTTTGCTGCTAGTTTTCTGTTTTCATTTGTCAGCATTATTTCTTTTTTCTTCACTCTAAAGAAATATAATAATGTGAGGATCAAGATTTAGTTTTCCATATTTGATGATGGCAACATTTGAATCACAATTCAACTCAGAACACTGTTTAATAAAGAACACTTCTTTATATTAATGGAAGTCACATCACTACACAGCAGTTGGTCATTTTATTGTTATTGTTCTTCAGTTTGGAAGAGGGAAGAAGGTGTCTTGCTTGTGCCAAATGTAATACTGTTGGCACCAACAAAGGAAAGTCTCTTGAGATAGATGTATTTGGGGAAAGCACTCAAATGAAATTGTGAATTATAATTTATTTGTTAAAGAATAAAAACTGATGACCTGGTGGCAGGTGGCGGCATTTTTCCTCTGCTGAGTGAGTCAGTGGTGTTTCTTTTCTTTTTTTTTTTAATTAATTTTTTTAATGTTTATAATTTTTGAGAGAAAGAGAGACAGAGACAGAGACAAAGAGAAAGCAGGCGAGGGGCAGAGAGAGAGGGAGACACAGAATCTGAAGCAGACTCCAGGCTCTGAGCGATCAGCACAGAGCCCGATGTGAGGCTTGAACTCACAGACCTCGAGATCATGACCTGAGCTGAAATCAGCCATTTAACTGACTGAGCCACCTAGGCACCCCAGTGGTGTTCATTTTCTTATCCTGTATTACAATGCTCAGTCCAGAGGAAAGAGGAAACACTGAACTCCATGAAAAAGTGGGAAAATAAGCACTATGTTCACATAGAAAGTCTCTTGAAACCTTGACTTTATTTTTTAGGGGGAGTTTTTCATTCTGAGAATTTACTGTGAGTTTTTATTTTTTTCTACAAATAAAGTTCTTGTCAACTTTTTACATCTATTAGTCTGGGCCCTAAGGAAGAAATTAAAGTTAAGAGCTGGTTCTGCAAATGGATTCCCAAGTGCTATTACAAAGTATGGCAAGTTTGACCAACAGGCTCAATAAAAGTGGTCTCCACTTTGCTTCAGTAAATGAAGAGGTTGCTTATGTCCTCAGCTAGGTAGCAGTTTTCCTTTCTTTATCTTTTAGTTTATACTATTGCATAATGTGTGTTTATAAAGGTTTAAATATATAAAATTTGAACACAAGCCTTTTAAAGTGCTCAGTCAAAACATTTTCTCCCTGGATTACAAAGAGATGCTCTTATTTAACTGACAATCTATGGTTCTAGTACTTGTCCATATGAAATTTCATTGCCAGTTAGGATTTCTCAAGGCTACTGAATAAATTTCTACATAACAGTGCATGTATTCAAACTGAGCAAAATGGTGATGTCATACAGATGTGAAAACCTATTACAAGATTGAAATATATTTCCAATGCATTTATTACACATTTTTGTAATATATGATTTAAATGGGAAAAAACCATGACAAATTGTTTGACATTTTTCACTAATATACAGCAAAACATAATACACTTTGACTAGCTTTTGGCCATTACGGTCCTTAGCATGCAATGTGACCTTGGTCTGAAAAAGCATGTTTGGTTAGCACAGAAACTTAATCATAAGAAGTCATAAGTAGAATCCTTCTTCTTTACTGCCCTTTTCTAGGACTAGGATATTTATTGCTTGTGGGACAGGTAGGATATGAACAATGGGCCAAATAGAGTCCAGGGTTATCTCATCTGTGTGAAAACTACTGCTGAAAATCAATGTGATCCCTGCTACACTGTCATCCCAATTCCCACCTTCTGTGTCCTATTTGTCTTTTGGTAGAAGCTTAGATCTGTGTGCTGTCTCTATGTGTTTCTCTTGGGCCAGATTAACAAAATGAATCATTGCCTGCATACCTGTTATATTTCTATTCATTTTCCTGATGTTGACCAGGTCTGATGAAACATGATTCTTTTTGCATTTGATCCTCACTGCAGCAAGCAACACCTAATTCAACTGTGTCCATCTCTTTAAAGGAGAATAATGCTATTTTGAAACTTCAATCTACTGTACAGCAACATTACAAACCATAGACCATGCAACCTGTCTTCATAGTCAATAGTAATTTTCCTTTCAGCCAATTTAATAGCATATCTTTCATCTCCAAATATAAGACTTCTGGCAATTTTAATGTAATTATAATTTTGTTTCATGCATACTGAATATATTGCTTTATTTTTTGGGTATCTTGTTTGTAGAATATCCCTCAGATACTCACCAGTGAAGTTCCATGTGCATAGAGTGATACATAACAAGGAATCCATTAATTTTAATAACTCTTCCCCTGATACAAAATATTTATTCAGAGGAAACATATTATCTCTGAATCAGTAGGATGTCAATGTTCTAACCGTGTAGCAGTTCATTTTGTAAAAATAGATCTTCCAGGCTATATAAATTCATACTTTAAGATTTTTAGACATCAATACAAAGGTATAGAAACTCACCACTTATTATCAATAAATCATTATGAAGTTATTCTATCCACTTAATGCAATCACATGCAGAAGACAAAATGCTACCTAAACACAGACTTTAAGCAATACAAATAAAACATAATATTCCTTGGTTAGGTGTTGAGAAATGTACTTTAGAAGCATTAGAGCTGCTGCCAAAGATATTTAGGAATTGTTTTTTAATGACATATTTCAAATATTCAAACCTTGTAGTTGAAATAGATCACAGAATTTGTGATAATGTGCTAACTCCTTCTGGAATACTTCACCTCTAGCAAAACTTCCACTGGCAAGGAGGGAAGTGGGAAAGGAAAGAAGGAAGGAAGGAAGGAAGGAAGGAAGGAAGGAAGGGAGGAAGAAAGGAAGGAAGGAAAAGGGTCAAGGTTAATTTTACATCAGGGGAGTTGTACAAAACACATAAATCATGCATTTATAATAAAAATGTTATTTTTTAAGTTTTATGAAAAAAACCTGAATATGCTCATTATACCTTCTTGTATTAGAAGAAAATGAACAGGCTAGTTTATACATTTTATTGAATTATTTACAACCAATAAAATGATTTTTATAACATTTTTGGATTCAAATAATATGACAGTGTTAATTCTATAAAATAATTGCTTAGCACTTTTTATCCTTGTAGACTTTAGAACATTACAAGTTGTAAAAAAAATGTAAAGGTGATCTCTAATAAAAACATCTTATTCAGAGATAATGCTGTCCCATTAAAAATTTCCAGAAGTGGGGCACATGAGTGGCTCAGTCAGTTAAGCCTTGGACTCTTGATTTTGGTTCAGGTCATGATCCCACAGTTCCTAAGTTTGAGCCTGGCATCAAGCTCCACACTATCAGCAAACCATGATGACTATGAAATCTGTGTGGTTCAAGCTCTGCACACTACATGTATAGGCTTCTTGCAATTGAAAAATGAAATTTAACTGTATAATAAATCTATATTTCTGTCCCTACTGGAACCAGAACCAAAACGTCTCATTAAACAACAATTCTATTGGTGTCTCTTTACCTGAAGCTAAGAGAGAATCTTGATTAAGTAAGGATAATGTGGGAGAAGATAATATAAAAATAAGGAGAAAAGATATAATTTGTGTTTTCACACCACAACTGATATTTTTTCATAAGTAATATTCTTCAAAATAAAAGGTAACACTGGAAATAATCCAAAAGCATGTCAACTAGTGAATAATTAAACAAAAGTCAATATATCCATGTAAGGGAATACTTTCCAGCAATAAAAAGGAAGAAACCACTGATACATGCTACTACATGAATGAACCTCGAAAACATAATGATAAAAGAAGCCAGACAAAATGACTACATATTATATAATTCTATTTGGAAAATATCCAGAAGAGGCAATCCTATAGAGGCAGAAAGTAGATTAGTTGTTTCCAGGGGATGAGGATGGGAAAGTATATTAACTGTAAATGGGCACGAGGGATATTTTGGGGGTGATCAAGATGTTCTAAATAGATTTGTGATGATGGTCCCACAACTCTGTAAATTTACTAAAAATCTTTGAAGTGTGCACTTAAAATAGGTGAATTTTATTGTATGGAAATTAAACTTCAGTACGGCTATTAAAGAATGGAGATAATAGACTTGAAAATGAAAAAAAAAAGCAGTGTATGCATAACAAGAAGGATCTGATTATTTAATTTATAGGCAATCATAAACATATCATAATTTTTCTCCAAGTCTCATGCCTCTTTGGCAGTAAATGTTGCTTCATTTGCACTGATTATTTACTTAAACATTTATTTTGAGAAACTACAGGCAGCTGGTTTCTCAATACATATGACTTCCTATTATGAGTTTGCCATCATTTAGTTTTAGAAAGAAAATCTTTATAAGATGCTATTAGAAGTAAAGGAAACAGAACATTTTTAGCTGTTAATTCATGAACCTTCCGATAATAATTTTGGGGTTTTTGTTTGTTTGTTTGTCTTTGTTTTTGTTTTTGTTTTGCAGAAGAGGTACCATTTCAAATTCCAATGATCAAGTCACCCTTGGACAAGATCCAGTTGACTCCTGGACAGACATTACCTCCTGGATTCCCTGGACAATTCATTTTTGCTGATAGTTTGTCCTCTGTGGAGACTCTGTTGACCAACATTCAGGTCAACAATATTTCTATAAACAAAATAAATGTAATACAAGACATTAGCATCTACATAAATTATTTCATATTTGAGAAACTAAAACAGATAAGATGAACTGCATGTCATTTTCTGTACTTTGACAGGGCCTACTGAAAGTGGCTTTGGATAATGCTCACATCCAGGAGAAGCAGATTCAACAAGAAAAAAAGGAACTACGAATGGAGCTCTATAGAGAGAGAGAAATTAGAGAAAACCTTGAAAGACAACTCGCAGTTGAACTTCAAAGCAGAAGTAAGTTTAACAAGTTCAATTACAGAATAAATATTTTGTTGCAGATATTTTCTTTTTTTTTTAATTTTTTAATATTTATTTATTTTTGAGAGACAGAGAGAGAGAGAGCATGAGCAGGGGAGGGGCAGAGAGAGAGGGAGACATAGAACATGAAGCAGGCTCCAGGTTCTGAGCTGTCAGCACAGAGCCCGACACGGGGCTCAAACCCACGAGCCCTGAGATCATGACCTAAGCCTAACCTAAGCCGCAGCTGGATGTTTAACCAACTGAGCCACCCAGGCGCCCCTTGTGGTAGATATTTTCAATAATAGTATAAATATTCTCAGGGATAGCTTAGAACTACTGAAAAATAACAAGCTAAGAATCAAATACTGTGTGTAATCCACAAGGTAAGATATTTATACTATTTCTCTTTATTATAAAAGATAATGAATTAGATCAACTTCAGGCTAGCTGATTTGGAAAACATGCATATTCTTAGTTTTCTCGTAATTTCATAAAATACCCTGCATATAGATAATCAAATAAATTCTTATAGATGGAATGCTTACTCTTTGCCAAGGACAGTGCTAGATTCTGGAGATTTCAGATAAATAAAACTCAGCCCCTGTCCTTGAGAGATGTACATTTTAGAGGGATAGTACAACCAACCGTTAATTTCAAGGCAAAATGCAAGAGCAAGGATGCACAGTATATATGGTTATATAGAGAGGGGGTAATTAGTTCAGCTTGGTGGGGGAGTTAATGGTTAAGGAAGGCTTCCTGAAACTGACACTTGAAGCTGAGTCTTGAAGATCAGTAGGATAAGAAAGGGAATGAGAGTGCCTGAGTGATATGGAGTCTCTAGACAGAGGTATCAGTGAGCATAGGCATGAAGGCAAGAAGTCTCATACAAGGGCAATTATAAACAGTTTGTTATTACTGTGGCTCTCCATTTTATGAAGTGAATGATGGGAGATGATGGAGAAAGATGAGGGTAAAAGCTAGGGCACCTGGGTGGCTCAGTCTGTTAAGTGTCTGGTTCTTGATTTTGGCTCAGGTCATGATCTCAGGGTTCGTGGGATCAACCCTACATTGGGTTCTGCACTGACAGTGCAGAGCCTGCTTGAGAGAATCTCTCCTCTCTCTCTCTCTGCCCCTCCCCTACTCATATGTGTGTGCATTCTCTCTCTCTCTGTCTTTCTCTCTGTCTCTCTCTCTCTCTCTCTCTCAAAATAAATAAATAAACTTAAAAAAATATGAGTGTAGAAGCTAAATTGTGAAGGACATTTTTTAACCATGCAAAAGATTAACTTGGATTTTGTCCTATAGGTGATGGGAAATAGACAAAGATAAGCAAGTGGATGATTTGGTCTGTGTTCAATTAGACCACTTTGGTGTTGGGAATATATTAGAGGGGGCTTGAAGTAAAACGAGAAACAAGGAAAGTATGTAAAAGGAGTTTGCTCTCATCCAGGCAATGGTGATGAGGACTGAACTAGGGTAGCATAAGTACGGATGGAGACAAAAGGGAGAGAATGGAGAAATAATGTTCACAAATAGAATTAACTTTTCAACTGTGGGTATCCATTAAATTATACACAGATATGGATAAATAGACTAGTTTATTCCAAAACCAGAGAAAATTTAAAACTTCAACTCAGCCAATAATCTCCACCTTTTCCTTACATTTACCATAAAATACTAAACAGCAGCAAAAGTGATGATTGTGAATTTCATTCAGTTTCTTCTGTTCTCTACTTACTCTTCTATGGAAGAGTCACAAAGTAATAATTAAATAAAATAGTTAAGGAATGGGAAGGAAAGTCAATGAAAGGGAGAGAAAATCCACATGTAGATAATGCCTCCCTGAACAAGGAGGAATAATTCCAGTTGAATGAAATCCACTTACTTTACACTATACCAAGGTAGTATATTATACTCCAAAAATTTTGCAAGTAATTAAAAACTTACTGTATATTTTACTTAAGGCCTAAGAATAATTATTATTCCAGTTCAACATATAAAGTCAGTCACTGCATTTAAAAAGAATTAAACCTCTTGGGGTGCCTGGATTGTTCAGTTAGTTAAGCATCTGACTCTTGATTTGGGCTCAGGTCATGATCTCATGGTCATGATATCGAACCCCACATGGGACTCCATGCTGAGCATGGAGCCTGCTTAAGATTCTCTCTCTCTCCCTCTCACTGCCCATCCCCTGCTCACGTGCTCACTCTCTCTCTCTCTCTCTCTCTCTGTGTCTCAAAAAAGAAAAAAAAAATAACCTCTTCGAAAAATAAATAAAATATGAGGAAAAGAGGCTCAGTTAGAGGAGCAGGTGACACTTGATCTTAGAGTTGTAAGTTCAAGCCTCACATTGGGTGAAGAGTTTACATACATATATACAAATCTTAAAAACAGACTTAAACCTCTTATTATCTTGCCAAAGTCATTAAATACTATTTAGCAAAAGCCAACCTTTCTTTTTAGAGTTTAGAAAAAATCATTTATTTCTGGTATTTGGTATGCAAAATACATTATTATGATTTGCCATCATAAAAACCACATTTTTATTAGGATATTTATTTATACTAAAGAACCTAATAATTACATCTTAGATATAATAACATTGTCAAATTGACTTATGTATATCTACTACATAGAGTAAAATTGGCTTCCAACTTTTAGGTATGTGCTCATGACAATTTCTATTTACTAACTTCTCATAGACTCTTAAAAGTCTATCTTTATAATTACTATCATATCTATTGTCTTTTAAAAAGGCATAGGCATGGTAGATGTAATATTCAATATATTATCAAGCATATTCTTAAGTATTTGTATTTTATTAATGTAGCATATTATGATATAATAATAATACCACTGCTACTATCATTACTGTCACTATTGCTGCTACTACTACTACTACTGGCTAATACTTATCAACTGTCTGCTATGTTCTAGGCATTGTTTTTAACATTTTACATCTAGAACTAACATAATTATATGAAGCTACTCTGTTATCCTCATTGATTTAGAAAAAAATATCTACTTCATCTCTATGAAACTCAGTATCCTCATCTATTACAATAGATGAGCTTTAAAATCACGTAAGTTCCTTTCTAGTTCCCTAAATATCTCATACACAGGATAACTAACTTTTTATGACAAATGGTGAATGCTTGCTTTATCTCAAGTCATATGATTGAAAAGAAAGAGGGGGAGAAATTGATATTATGGTTAAAAATGACAACTGTCCAAGGATATAGAAAGAAGAGTAACTACATAACTATATATATGTATGTATATGTGTATATTTGTAAAACAATTATATATAATAATTATTTACAATAATTATATATAATAATTATATATATATATATAGTCCTTATTACTATCTTTTTTTCAATTAAAGAAAGTAATAAGACAGAGTCCCAGAAAAATGCTCATAGTAGGTTCTAAATAAATGATAGTCATTATCATTTATTGATATAATTTAAAATGTAATATGTGGTTGCTATGGAATTGTTGAGAGTGGCAGTCAAGAAAAAATTCTTGAGATATTTTATGGTGCAACTTAGTAAGTTTCTTTAAGTTGCATGGGACAGGACAATGGGCAAAAATAACTGCACTTTTTGCTGTATTAAGCTGGTGATTATATGCTTAATGCTCAAAGGGAAGGGGTCATGCAGGGAGTATTACATCATAAATGTCTGTCAAATTTCTACTCATAAAACTGCTTTCGTAAGATTTCTCTGGTTCTTATCATTCAGATCAATATGAACTGTCGGTGAGATTTACAGGCAGTCATGAGACTCTTTAAGAAGGTAGCACCCAGGGGTGCCTGGGTGGCTCAGTTGGTTAAGCCTTCGATTTCGGCTCAGGTCATGACTTCATGGTTCTGTGAGTTTGAGCCCTGTATCGCTCTGTGCTAACAGCCTGAAGCCTGGTTCAGATTTTGTGTCTCCTCCCCCTCTCTGTGCCCCTCCCATGCTCATGTTCTGTCTCTCAATAAATAAAAAAGTTAAAGAAATTTATTTAAAAAAAAATTTTAAAAAAGAATGTAGGGACTAGCACATATGTTAGCATTATTGAAACAATGCAGGCTATAGGTCAGCCTTCTGAGTTAAAGGTGAACATTTTTTTTTGCTTCTATCTCTCATTACTGTAACATTGTTTATACCATATGTAATTATAAATTTCAAGGGAATCAACATATAGCATGTTTTTGAACCAATAATTTTACTGGAAGCTAACATTTGTGTTATCAAGGACATTAAGTTGTATGTTAATATGAACAAATCTAGATTGCTGGTTTGAATAATTGGTTGAATACTTTATATGAATTATTATAATTATAATAGTAAACTATTTTTATGTTCAGCCTCAATAATCTTTCATCAAAAATAACAGAAACTATACATCCTCAGCGTCATTGTTTCAAGTTTTCCAATTTTGTTTTTACTTCAGATTTATGAATTTTAGACTCACATGAACATAAATTTACCTGGGTAACTGATTCTCTTCAAGGTGCTGGAGGTCATTTATATGAAAGACAATGAACTGTGAAATAAATAAATTGAAACTTAAATTAGTATCATAATTAGTTTAATAAAAATATTTAATTATATGTGAGCACTTTTAACATTTCTTAAATGTCATAAAAATTTTAATTTTGTGTAATGCTTCTTGAATGTTTTTCTATCACCACAATGTCAATATCTTAATTTTTAAAAACTGATTCAGAAAGACTGTGAAGGTTGGTATGCTTAGAACCCTGCTGTGAACCAATAATTGCAGGATCCCAATAATTCTATCTAAAAAATTATCAAATATTTAATACTATCATTTAATGCATGTAGTTAGTGAAAGTAGAAAATGATTTTCTACCGATAGTGCCACTGCCATATAAATGTATATGTATTATAAAGCATACACACTGGAAAAGTGAAAGCAAAAATAAGTAAATCACATGATTGAACACTCTGGTTGAGTCTAATGAGAATTGGAGTCCAAAGAAGCTAATCATATGCAGTAAATATCTCTCTCTGTATCTGTATTTATGGTTTATAATACATCAAAATTGGCAACGTATTTTATTTTATCCACCAAAATTTTGCAAACGATTTACCTTTTCATGTTTTAGCTACCATGCAAAAGCGTCTGAAGAAGGAGAAAAAAGCCAAGAGAAAACTGCAGGAAGCCTTGGAATTTGAAACAAAACGCAGGGAACAAGTGGAACAAGCACTTAAGCAAGCCACTACTAGTGATGGTGACTTGAGGAGGTTGAAAGGTAATGTCTCATTTAAAAAAGATAGAAAGGAAGAAGGAAGGAAGGAAGAAAGTAAAGAAGGAAGAGAAAGAAAGAAAAGAAAAGAAAAAGGAAAGGAAAAGAAAAGAAAAAGGAAAAGAAAGGAAGGAAGGAGGGAGGGAAGGAGGGTGGGAGAAAGGAAGGAAGGAAGGAAGGAAGGAAGGAAGGAAGGAAGGAAGGAAGGGGCTTTGCTCAAGAATCATTAAAAAATCCATTTGAGGGGCGCCTGAGTGGCGCAGTCGGTTAAGCGTCCGACTTCAGCCAGGTCACTATCTCGCGGTCCATGAGTTCCAGCCCCGCGTCAGGCTCTGGGCTGATGGCTCGGAGCCTGGAGCCTGTTTCCGATTCTGTGTCTCCCTCTCTCTCTGCCCCTCTCCCGTTCATGCTCTGTCTCTCTCTGTCCCAAAAATAAATAAAAACCGTTGAAAAAAAAATTTAAAAAAAAATCCATTTGAGGCTAAGTGCTTTGGGTTATTAATTAAATGTGTCAAAATAATCCCTACTCTGAGAGATACAAATAGTCTAGGAATAACAGGAAATCCTGCTGACTTTTGCAATAGAAACACTAATATTGATAACATCCTTGCACATAAAATGTAAGTGTTTTACTCTTATGTGGATCCTGAGAAACTTAACAAAAGACCATGGGGGAGGGGAAGGAAAAACAAGTTAGAGAGGGAGAAAGCCAAACCATAAGAGACTCTTAAAAACTGGAAATAAACTGAGGGTTGATGGTGGGTGGGAGGGAGGGGAGGGTGGGTGATGGGCATTGAGGAGGGCACCTGTTGGTGCAAACCAATTTGACAATAAATTTCATATTAAAAAATGTAAGTGTTTTAGGTCCATTCATATTAAAATATGCTGATGTTTGGTGTACTCTATTTTAATGAATTATAGGATCTTGATTTCTTTAATGTAGATTGCATCAGTGTTGAGGGTTTAAGGAGGACCTAGTTGAAAAAGAATGCTCTAAGTACATCCTGGAAATTCTGTGAGAAGAGAAGTTTTTGTCATGAAATCTCTTAATTTCAAATTTTTTATTACATTTTCAATTATTAAATCCCACAACATCATTTCATCTCATAGAATATTCAGGTTCTTCTTTCATAGCTCATTGACAGCTTGTATGTTTAACTGATATGTTAAATACATAGGTGTATATTAACTGATAAATGTGTGTAACAAGTATAAGCCTAAGAATTTTATACATACATGTATAGATGCTCTATTCTCATGTATAACACACACACAAAACTAAAAGAGTGCTTCAGGGTCCTATACTAAAAATGAATAAAGAATTTTGTACAAACGTCAGTCATATTCTTTCTTTCAAAAAGTTCAATTCCCTTTTTACTGTGACTGTCTTGGATCATTGTGCTCACAATCAGTACAAATATAGTGCTAGATTATTTTAGCTCATGCTAGCCATGTCTCATTGAGACACAGTAAAGAAAGAGTAAATAATATCTCACACAATGAGGCATCTTAGTGGGAGCCAGCATCCTTGCTTATCAAAGATTTTAAAAGGAACATTTCTTGAATAGCAATGGGATATATGTTCTGTGTACTCATTATTATTTGAGGCCCTGAACTTGTCATTCTGAAATGGTTTGACATTTTTTTTTACATATTTAAGATCCACCCATAAGTAAACTCCATTTAGCTTTAGCTTTTCTATAAATCTGTATAGTATAAAGTAAAAGTATAAAGGAAAAACAGCTGTTTCTACAGCATGATGGGTACCTTGTATTCAAATCATTTTCTTCTCACATTAATCTTTGATGGCATTGGGTGATACGCTGGCATCTGTTATCACATTACACAAGGGTGTCCAGGGAAATGTATATATACACAAATGCTCATATAATGCTATACTTCATGGATATGGATAACTTTTAGATAATCACATCTCATATTTAAAATTAAAAATAAAAACCTAACTCTTATTTCTCTTTCTTGAATTTTTTCAAAAACAATTCATGTGTCCCTTTGCCCTTATAGCCAGTACTGCATAAAGACCACAAACCACAATTTGTGTTTTGGTGTTCAGTACACTTAACATAGAAATAATCTTATTATCTACAGCATTTCACAAATGAAAAATATACCATAAGGAAGGGGCACTTCCACTTATGCAATCTTATTCCACAGCCATGGCATGTTACTTGATAGTCTGAGGGGATTTTTATGGACAGATTATTTTCATGAGAATTATCTCTAGAGAATGAAATAAAAAAGTATTTACTATATGTTTTAAAATATATGCCAAATTGTAGAATTCTGCTACAGTTTATAATCCTCCCTTTTACCACCACAAAGAAATAGACATACAAAAACAAAAACAAAAATGCGTTCCAAGGTCTTGTGTTATCTATAGGACCAAAGTACTGGTTTCACTTTAAATGGAATCAGAAAAAATAGAATTGTGCCTTAATCTTAAATGTCACTTCTTTCAGATACTGGAATTCCAGATATTGAAATAGAAAAAAATGGGACTTCTCATGATAGTACCTCTATTCAAGGTACAGTAAACAGCATACTTCTCTCTATAACTGCCTGATACGAAGTGGGCATGAGTTCCTATATTGATATTCTTTACATAAGTAAAAGAAATAAGTTTAATTCTTACTTTATGGCAGAGGCAGAAGTATTCATGTGTTTTTTGAGATTATATATAGGGACTAATAATTTTACATATACAATGTGAGCAAATTTCTTGTATGTTTAGCTGTTAAAAGGGTGTATATTTATGTGTTAGGCATATTCTAAAAATGCATAAATGTGAATATAATTTACCTTTCTGAAGTGTACAATAGCATACTTTAAAAATATCACTACTGTTTGTAAAAACCACAAGTAGAAAAATAATAAACTATCAATATTTTTAAAGTATTGTAGACAACATTTTTTATCAATCTTTAAATTCTGATGCTAAATTTAGATAACTAGAAACTGTCTAAATATGGAAATAAGACTACAACTTGTTACTCATGATTTTCAGGATTCCAATAAATGCTTAGATCCTTTAAAAATTTTTAAATACTTAGTAGTAAGAAAATATATAAAACAAGTCAATATAGATTTTCACTGGAGTGCAAAATTATCTAAAAATAAAAACCGAATTTAACCGCTGGAGTTTTTCCAGTATGATTCTAATGGAGTTTTCTAGCCCTTTGGATGTAGATTACATTTACTTTCGTGTTTAATGTGAAGAAATTTCTCACTCAAATAAAAACGAAAAGGCATCTCCATGAGAAAATTATTTCTTAACTTCAGAAAGGAAGACAACCATGGATATGTTGCTTGCTAGAGGTTTGACTAATCACTGCCTTTTCACTGTGTAACGAATAGATCTACAAGAAGGCAACAAACTGGATGTGACTGACAAATCCATTTGAGGGTCACCATTTATCTGGCAGCTTCAGGAAATTTAGAAACCTTCATTCATGTAGAGTTGCCCATCATTTTTACAAAATAAAGAATTTCAGAGCTCATGGATCTTCTAGTAATCCCTGATTCTGCTGCAGTTGGGTAGACCTAATAAATACCTTAAGTTTGCTAATTGTGAAAGCATGAATGTTTATTTCATTCAGTGAAACTTTTGCTGTTTCTTATCCCTCTTTTGTTTGCCTGCTTTCTTCCTTTAACTTAAAGGCTGTGTCTATGTGACCAAAGGCAATTTGGATGGGACTCAGTGTTTGTCCAATTTGCCACCGTTAAATTTATGAAGAAAACCCCACTAGTTGTAAGCTACCATTAGCTGAGGTTGCTCCCACATATCAGGACCAAGGTAGGGTTTAATAAGCCTGAAGCATCTGATGCCTTCTTAATCAGTATAAACCCAGTCTTTAGGGAACATTGAGCTTGATTGTGCCCCCCCTCTTTGAGTGGCATCTAAGGTCAGTTTTGGAACTGGAGGGGGTAAACCAAACATACCATCAGAGGGTTCTATCTTTATTATCTTTTAATCCTATATTTTCAATTAATTGCTGTTTGTTTAATGTATATGATGCCTTTAATTTGCAACAGTAACATCTTTCCCAACTCTGAATTAATACAAGCTTTTGAACCATCCTAAAGTTATTTCATTTCCATGCAACAAAAAACAGATATCTTACTCATGGGAGGTCAATTGGATAATATAAATCAAAAGCCTTCCATTTGGCTCATTTTTTTTTTTTACTTTAACAAAGTTTGCAAAGGATGGCATTTGCATATTAATTTGTTATTAGGGGATAGAACATTTAATATTTATTTTCATTGAGCATACTTTTAAAAGTTCTACTTTTTGCTGGATAAACATGAGTAAATTAGTGTACCTTTAAAAGGGTTAAAGATAGAATTTATTTTAAAGCAATGGAATTAACTTTTATTATATTTTTTAAATTACAGATCAAATTGTCTAATATTTTTGGTTAATATTGTCAATATATGGCAAAGGAAGGTGTGTTAGAAATCACTTATTGAATGTCAACCATTTAGGTTGTATTATATAATATTCTTGATAAATGTGATAAAAATGGAAAAGTACACATTCTTATCTCAGCATAGCATTTAAGCACTGTAAATGATAAAGTTCCCATCATCAATTTATGGAAAACTAGAGTGAATGCTTCATGTTAATATGACAGTAGAATCACGATTTAATATCTAAAATAAGTTTATTTTTGAGCAAAAAAAAATATTAGCCAGGGGAATAGATGCCTGAAAATATTATTAGACCTATCTTAAGGTGCAGTTCACAAAATCAGTCAATTCAAACAATTACCTGTAAATCCTGATAATATTAGTTATTATCTAAAATGCTCAGAATTCAAAAATTACTTTTATATGTATATATGAACTTCAGAAAATGTGTAACACCTGGAAAACATAAAATACAAACTTAGCCATTATTTTTTCATTCTTTCTAATAGTTTTGCTCTTGTGTGTCATAGTTTTTATCTTTTGTGACTTACTTTGATACTGACTTCATCTTTCCATTTCTCTCAATTACCCATTTTTTACCTTGGAAGATTATTTCCTAATATTGTTTATGAGGGTCAATTCATGCATGCCAATCAAATTCCATTTCCAAAACTCATCTTTATCACAGCAAAGAATACCAACATCAGTGAAGTCTTTTCTCTTTCTATTGTCAATAGCTCTGCTGGAAAGAAATATATCAATCACCTAGTGCTCTCACTTGAAATTAAATTAGTTCCAAAGGGATAGATCCTCAAGAGAGTTTAAAGAGGAGTTGGAAGAATGTTAGTTGGTCATATTTAAAAGTAATACAGTCTTATACAGTTTTATGATAATTTTCACATAAAATTTAGTACAAAGATACTTTACAGTAAGTTTCTTATATGTATTCTAAATCTCTTTAGCTTAGTTATTTCATGTCTTTTATGCCTTGAATGTTGGTTGACAGACAAGGTATCTATGCATAAACCACCTTCTGATATAAGGATTTCTGTATACCTTATTTTAGCAGTCTATTACAGCAGCTTCTTCTGAATATTTTAAGGTGATCAAACAATGAATACATACTCATTCTGATGGCTCTGTCCACTATTGCTGGAGGTGAAGGATTCAGTGGAACATATAAACTAACATTCTCCCACCCAGATTCCCATAACTCAGTTGAGGGCTTATAAGACAGTACATTAACCATCTTATCAACCAATCTCTGTTTCACATAAAATAAACATACGGGTATCATTAAATGCACCTTCAGATCAATGATTTTTGCAAATGACATTCAAGTATCGTTTGTGTAGTGCATTTTTGCTGATAAAAACAAAGCACAACTACAAATGCACTGATAAAAACTAAGACTGAACAGCAGTACCATTAACTAACAAAGTAATATTTTCTCTTTCCTGTTTGTGCCATTTAGTTATTAACCTATTGTAAATCTAGTTATATAATCATTTTACTCCCTAGTCAAACTTCATAGTTTTTTCAAGCTCAGCACTGACAAGTGATTTCATTACATTTGATTACCCGCACCCAGATTGACTTAACTTCACTTGGAGACCTAAAAGCCCTCTCAGTTTCTCAGATTCCATATTTGCACATTATAGCAACAGCTCCTTTAATTAATTAGCATGAACAGCAGTAATATGAACTGCTGAACAAAACATAACAGCATGTTATGATCACAGGGAGACTTCCCCTTTTGCATGTTTATACCTTAGTTAACTTTTGTATGACTGTATTTCATTGTTAGGGGCTACTGGTGCAGTTGACAGTGCATGTTTCTTGAATTTTTGAGAATTGACACCATCATCTTAATAATAACAGATAAAGCAAATCCAGGATATGAAGCTCTTAAGTTTTAGAAAAAAACATAACAGACTTCATGAACTGACATTCTAGTAATAAAAGAAAATCATAAAAAAAAGTTCAAGGGAGATAGCATCGTAAAGTGCAAGAGCACAGTGACAGATTACTTCTGTTTCTGTCATTGTATTTGTTTTGGGGAAAGAAAACAAACTAGCAACTCCTTTTCCGAGAGGAATATTCATCTCTGTGAATAATTTTTACATTTGCTTTTTTTTGCCTACATGTTTGACACACCAGAAGTAGATATTAAGTGCAACCTACATGTAAAAAGTAAACCCAAATTTGATGCAAAAAATAAGTGTACTAAAAATTTTTCCCTGCTGAACCATTTTTGTTCAAAAAATGTGAAAGCTTAGTCAGAGAATATACACTAACCATTGTAAAATACAAAATGCATGATCTCATCCATACAGCTCTTGGTGAAGATGCCGCTGAAGAATTAAAAGCAAGGTAACTGAAGTGTCATTTGACTCTAAAAGCAGCAGACACAATTTTAACACTTCTTTGCTAAAAATACCCTTATTATATCTTACAGTGTAATTTAATATATATTTATAATGTAAAAATTTGAATATATACTTATACTATGAAATACATATGAATATGTATATTCTCATCTACTCTCTCAAAATCCATTTGAGCAATGTCTGGCCTTCCTTGACCTTTGAAACTTCCTTATATTCTCTCTTTCCTGCTCATTTGGTAACCTAGAATAACATTTCTCCAATGAGCTTAAGGTAGAATGCCAATATTTACTGAAAACAATTACACTTGGGCTAAGATTGTCATTTCAGAATTTTGTATAATAGCATAGAAAGTGATGATAGGAGCAAGTAAGGAGACTGGAAAAGATAAATATATTACTTGCCATGTATATGATATGACAAGAAAAACTAAAGGGAGAGAAGGTAGAATTTCTGTATAGGCTTTTCTACTAACTCCCACCACATTGTGCTCTACATCTTTCTCTTGGGGTTCCATAGACTACTTCCTGCCCTATCCTCATCAATCATTAATTGTCCTCCCCTTTTATGTCGTGTACTATGTTGGAAGGTATACATAGGCACTTTAATATTCCCATTTTAAAGTGGAAATGTTCTTTTGTAAAGTGTCTAGAGTGTCAGAGATTCGAAAGATTGTGGTAAGTGGGTCTTCTTTCCTCTTAAATGCTTCATTTGAGAGTAAGAGCCTT